ATTGTCCTCTCCAGCTGCCCCTGGGAGGTGCCTGGCTGATCGTCTCTTCCTGCATCCTCAGCAGCCTGGAGAAGAGTGCACGGGGTCTCGCTGTCAGAGCCAGGTGTGCCTCATGGCTTTTGTGTCCTCTGGTCCAGGTCCACTTTCCCGAGGCCCTCAGAAAGAAGGGAATGCAGAGTGGCCTGTGAGCCCTTGAGTCCTGTCCTGCTGTCCAGCGTGAGACCTCCATTTTCAGTGGAGCCAGACTTCTCCCCCTTGGCTCCTCATTCACGCTCTGCAGCTTAGAAAGTGCTTTTGTTGGCCCTGGAACATTCTGTTGCCTTCAGTAATGTGTTCAGAGTCGCTCGTGAAGTCACATCACTTTCCTCTCAGGCCAGTGTTCCCATTCGGGCCACGTTCGGGGAGGAGGTCAGTTGGGGTGAGGCGGATTTTGAGTGTGAGTTTAGACACAAAAGTGATTGCTCTAAACAGCATTGTCGTTGATTTGTTTGGCATCTGGGTCCTGTTAGGGAAGTAAGCAAATAGAGCAAGTTTTCTGCAAAAGCACTTTAAGGTCGCCACGCATGGGAGAAGGAACATGGCGTACCGGGGGAGTCCTGTGGCCGCCGTAGGATGACGAGACACCACGCAGCCGCCAGTGTGTACTGTGATTGATTTTGGGCCTGTGACAGGCTGACCTCCTTCATTAGCTCCCCATCTCTGTGTCTTGGCAGGGCTGCAAGCCACACCCACACCTTTCTTCTCTACCCCCTCTCCCCTCCTTTGCTCCTCAGCATGCTTTGGTCCTGTTTCTGTTCGTAGTGTTCATCCCTCTCTGGCTTCCTCCTGAGCTCCTGCAGCTGCCAACCCAGGTTTCTTCTCACTTTGTGCCAAGGGTCAGGAGGAAGTGAAGCCAGCCAGGTTTGAGGGTAGGGAGTCTCGGTACGAGTGGCCTGCTGGGGATCTGTATCCCCCAAAGAGGCAGCTGCTGCTTGGCTCCAGGTCATTTTCTATGATGACATAGTCTAGGCTCAGTGTTCTAGAATATCACATTTTCCAAGAGAGGTTGGAAAACCTGACTTCAGTGTAATGTGACGTTTCCTAGTTTTCAGTGTTTGACAAGTAATTAAAATTTCTTTTAAAACATATTACATGGACTAAATGAAATGTGTCTGAGCGCTGGGCTGGTCTCCGTTCTTTCATCCACATTCTTGTTCTCCCTCCCTCCCTCTTTCCCCGTCTGTCTCCGAGCACACTCACGATCTTGCCTGTGCTCTGAGAGAGTTCACCCCTCTGAGCGGCAGCTCTCTGACCCTTGCCTGCTTGCTCGTTGCCCCAGTGCGCTTTCTTTTCACAGCAAAGTTGAGCCCCTCGGCCTCTCAGATTTGGTAAGACTATGAGATCTTTAGTCACCTAAGAAACAAACAGAGATTCATTCCCCAGAGATTAACACAGTTCTTCAGGAACTGACACTGCAGTGGGAAAACGGAGATCTGCACTGAACAGGGACGCATTCAGAGGGTGGGGCAAGGGGACGTTTCTAAAGGGCAGAGAGGAGGTTCACAGCAGTTCTCCTGCATGATAACCCTTGACGGTGGGCTCAGTAACAAGGGCAGCGTTACTCCAAGGTTGAGCAGGACGTTTGGGGCAAAACCTCCTTGAAGAAGCCTTTTCTGTGTCCAGTTCCATGGCTGTCTTGTCACCAGATGCGTGCATGGGAGCTCATCCTTCGTGTCCTCCAGGCTCTGTCTGTGTGTTGGTCAGGGTTTGACAAGTGACTCCATTTTGATTAGAAAACCTTCATAATCTCCGAACAGGTTTGCTGTTTTGTCTCTGTTTCCTGACAAAAATACTGCAAGTATTAACCGCTGTTCTGTCCCTCGCTTCTCTCCTCAGCCCCACTTCTCCCCCAAGCGGGTGGGAGGATGTGTGATCTTGGGCTCTGGCCCTTGACCACAGCCCCAGATGGGTAGTGCTCGTTCCTCTCCCACACGCCTTCTAGGGCTTGCTTCCATCTTCCTCCTCCGTTAACTGGAAGCTCTCTGAGTTTCTGAACTCAGCTGTTCTCAGACGAAGTGTTCACCCGCCACCCATCCTCGCCTCTCCACGTGGGGTTAACTGTGACCCCACAGCCTGGGTCATCTCCCAGATCAGAGGGTGGCTCTTGTCTCTCACCTCCTCCTGCACTCCTGACGAGTCCAGCCCGCTGCACAGTTCTGCAGCCACCCTGAGGGCCGGCTGTGGCCAGCGGCTGGGTCGTACGACAGGTGCTGTGTGCGTCTGTGTGCTCGTGCCCTGTGCTGAGCCGTGCTTGTCTTCTTCATCCTCTCCCTCCGTCAGGTCCCACCTCTTCTTCGACTTGGCTGCCTGCCTGCCTCTCGCCCCAGTGCGCTTTCCTGGGCCTCTTCCCAGGCCTCCTCTCCAGCACTCTATCTAAACCTCTCTTCATTTCATCCTACTGTGTACTGCAGAACTCGCCTGCCTCTTCTCCCATCTCTGGACTCAATGGAGAGACACTGTCTTTGTCACCTGCAAACACCCCAAAGCCCAGTGTGCTGCCTTGCATTCAACAGACACCATGTAAGCCTTCATAAATGGAGTAAAAGATTTTTTTAAGTAAAGGAAAGGCTGGGAATTTAGCTCAGTGGCATCACGCTTATCTGGCAAGCATAAGATCTTGAGCTTCAGCCCCGTTACTGGAGGAGACAGAGAGAGAGAGAGAGAGAGAGAGAGAGAGAGAGGGAGAGAGAGAGAGAGAGATACACCTGAACAGCTTAAGCCAAGATATTAAAAACAAAACAAACCTGTTTGCTTATTCATAGGGATTTATAGAAACTCACAAGAAAGTATTGAGCTAGTCAAAGGGTTTTTCTGTCGTCCCCAATTCCCGGGATGTGGCTTTCCTGGGAGGAGCCACCACGGTTCGGTCTGACTGTCCTTGGGCCACGTCTTTCCTGCAGTGCCAGGAGAGGGAAGAATGGACGAAGCCTCCCAGTCACCAGGGCTCCTGCCACCTTGGCATATAGTCCTGCACTGTTCCTCTTGCCCACGACAAGCTGTTCCCGCACTTTCACAAGATGTCCTCTGCCCACATCATTGGCAGGCCTGGGAATTTCCCACAGGCCACCTGGGTCAGTTCTGTTGTCCTTGTCACCTGAGGTTTTTTGCAGCATTGTTATTTGTTAATTAGCTCTTAAAATAGTACTTGCTTATCTATCCGAGATTATATCCCACTGACCTTCCCAGGAAGAGAATCTACTCATTTTTATTTTGTTTTGTACCACTTTCCCCTTCTTATTTTCCTGGAGATGAAACTTTATCCAAGGAGAGCTCAAACTCAATGAACTCTGAGGTCTTAGAGAATGGAGCAACCGATAAGACATTTATTTCCCAACTCCACATTGATGACTGTAAGAGCCTGGAATGGAAACCGCTCTGCTTGGACCTGTACAGCTTTGAATGCTTATTTTATTTTGGGCCCTACCTCCAGCCCGGTAGCCCCTAAGGCCTTTAGCCCCTTAACGGTTTACCCAGAGCAGCACTCAGGCAGTGTGTTTTAAGTACTGTTTCTCCCGGGTATTGCCCAACTTGGTGTCCTTTCAGCCAGTCAGTTCTTGTGTTGAATAAACTTGATAAAATTGTCATTTTTATATTTCTTGTTATAAAAAATAACACCAAAATATGCAGTTTTTTTGGTCATCTTGTATTTAAGTGATTGGACAGGGAAGTGGTTAATTCCTTGTCATTTGGAGAGAAGAGAAGCCATCGGACCTCATGGTGTCTTCACTTTTTATTAGCTCCCCTTTGGTGCTTTTTGAGAAAACCTTGAAGCCTTTTCGCTCCGTATTATTGTTTTCATCTGTACTGACATAAAGCCAGAGGCTCTACAGCTCAGCCATGTGGCATGGGAGGCCACCTCTAAGTATTACCTTTCCATGTCTACACCAGTGGGATTTTCTCCTTATTTACTCTCTAAATTCAGCCCCAAGACAATATCTACAAATACAGCATTACCTTTGTCCTATATCCACAAGTCAAATTTGGAAAGGGACACTTAGCGTGCAGCATAAGTTGTCATAAATCAGTTTAAAGATAACTTGATTTAAATAAAAACAAAACTTTTTTATCCAAGGCAACTTCTTTGGAAATGGAAAATTAAGTTAGTTGTGTTTTTTAAAAGTAGAAGACCACATTCTGGCCAAGAAAATGGAATTATCCTCTCGGAGTTCACTTTGCAAAAGCATACTTAGCCCAAATATCTGGATAGGAGCTGAGCACCAAGGAAATTTCCTTGTTGATGGAAGGATAGAGGATTTATATACAGGTATTGCTCGAATGCATGCTGTTACTTAGTTTTTGGTCTATGCAGCAGTAAAGTCTCAGTCATGAAACCTACTTGAAAATGGAGACAACACAGGCGCCTTAAAGAAAAAAATCTTAGTCCTCTAGAACTGTATATCTTTTTTGTATAAGGTGGCCAGTGCTGTGTTTGCAGAAGTCAGACTTTTAAGCTTTCACCCTTACTGCTGCTTCACACGAATCTTCAGAAATAATGGCTCTCCCTCTTCTTTCTGAGGTCTAGGCAGAGAGCAGGAGTCCTGGCCAGCTGGGCAAGTCTCTCTGAAGAATGGCACAGCTGTTCCTAAAAGTAGCTCCATTCGTAAGATGCCTGCTGCCCACAACGGCTGTGTTGGAGAAGATACACTGTTTTATAAAAAGCTTCTTTAGAAAAGGAAGAAAAATACGTAGTGTTTACAGAAATGAAACCTGGACCCTTCAGCCTTCGTTGAGTGGCCACGTCTGAAATGGAAGCGGGCAAAGCCCTAAATCCACGCAAGCACTTGTGCCTCTAAGGCATGATTCATACCGGCTGTGCTGCCCGTGATGGAAAATCCAGCTAGTTCAGCAAGATCAGCCGGAAAGCCTCCCGCCGGCTCCTCTGCCAGGGCTGATGCCTGCTGTCTTGTGACCTGGCTGTTGGATATGAAGGAATGGTTGATTCTCTCTTTTTCTCTCTTCAGTTCATGACCAAGAATCCCACCATGCGCCTGGGCAGCCTGACACAGGGAGGCGAGCACGCTATCTTGCGACATCCTTTCTTTAAGGGAATTGACTGGGCCCAGCTGAACAATCGCCAGCTAGAACCGCCTTTCCGACCCAGAATTGTAAGTGTCAAGACCTCTGCAGTCGACTTCCTTTTCCTTCAGATGAGCCAAGTCCAGTGGGCAGGTGTCTCTTATGGAATGAGAGAGCAGACGTGCCCAGGCACACCTTACAGGACAACCTCCCCGTGGAGGAGGCTGGGCTCTTTGCTCCCAAGACAGCATCTCTCCTTGCACTCAGGTTACTTCTTACAGAATCTTCCCCTCTGGCTTCATCCCCCTTTAACCTAAATTAAAATCTTCTCAGGTCCAGATGCCTGGTTTCTCCAAAAGAGTTTGGCTAACTAAGTCATTGTTCCTAGCCAGTTTCTTCATGTTCCTGAGCCCGGGGCTGTATGTGCCTTTCCCTAGCCCCAAGAAAGTAGAACAGGTGTGAGATACTCTTTCACTAAACCTCACTCCTGGTTTGCAGGGCCCGAGTCTGCAGTAGCTACTGTGGGGCCAAGTTCCAGCCAGCCCAGGCCAAACCCCTTTGGTCAAATCCTGAGAGCGCTGGGGCTGCCTGTCTAAGCTGTGTACCCCTCGGATGAGCCAGCCTTTGCTCCAAGAGCTGAGCTCTGGTTTGTCTGTAGGTAGGAGATCCATAGTGGGAACCCTAGCAGCAGATCGAGGGTCATGGACAAGAGGGGGCTGGTCTAAGGCAGAGAGAAAAATTACTGAGTCAGATGCTAGAAGCTAGAGGTTGAACGCTGGTACAAATGATCTTGTCAGCATTAGTTCATAAAGATATAAAAGTATGTACAACTTTTCCAGACAGACAGTAGGCCTAACCTGGAACAGCCTGTTAGCCTTTGGACCACAGGCAGCACAGGTAAAGCCAATCCCTTCCATGGGTAGCCACCCAGCCCCCGCCAGCTTCTGTGGGATTAGGCAAAGCTTGGCTTCCAGAGGCTGGAAGCTGAGGTCCTGACTGCCCAGCCAGTCCCACAGGACAGAATGCATTCACATCCACCTGGTGAGTAACAGCAGAGGAGGGCTTTCCCTCAGCTCAGCGTTTCCCAAAAGTCTCTGGAGAACAGCTCTTCAAGTGAGTGCACACTTCCTCAACCTCAGTTGACAAATTCAAGCTCAGGTGGCCCTCAGTGAGGTGGGCTGGGAAGCAGGACCTCTGCTGAAATAGGGAATACAGATGGAGTGAGCCGTCCAGTCTGAGAGACCAAATCAATTCCTTAGTCTTCCAGGGGAAAGCTGGCCTGCTCAGCAGGGTTTTCTTGGGATTAGTGAATTGATGGTTACCAAATGCTCTAATAGTACGCAAACGCAGTGGAATTGCTGTAAAGCAGGTTTAATCATAATGATTGTGCCTGTAGATAATACCAATGAGCAAGCTGCAGAACAGTTCTTTGAAGTCGCCGGACTGGACCGAGTCCCAGGCAAGATGAGTTAAGCTTCAAATGCATAAAGTCTGACCCTTGTTTCCATTTTTTTTTTTTTTTGACAGAAATCCCGAGAAGATGTCAGTAATTTTGACCCTGACTTCATAAAAGAAGAGCCAGTTTTAACTCCAATTGATGAGGGACATCTTCCTATGATTAACCAGGATGAGTTTAGAAACTTTTCCTATGTGTCTCCTGACTTGCAGCCCTAGCCTTGCACAGGGAAGGACAGACAGTATGAGGGTCCAAAGGGAATAAAGACTTCCCAGGAATTTTCTTTGTGGGGACTCCCCAGCATCTGCCTTAGAACACAGTCTTACCTTCAAGGAGCAGATGTTCACAGCCTCGTGAAAAATGGAACTCCAAGAATCAACTCTCTAAAGTCCAGAGAGAGCCATAGCCCTGGAAAGAGTTGATGCAGAAATGAGGTTTGATGAAGACATCACTGCTTAACCTGTGAGATTCCATGGCTACTTGGGACAGTAACAGGAACCAAAAGGAGCAAATATGTGAAGAATAAAGTAGGTTCCAGAAATTCTGAGGCAAACAGGCTTTTTTTTTTTACTTCAAGATAGAAATCAAACTTTTCTGTGGACAACTCGGTGCCCTTGGTTAATCCAGTGAAGCACAGTCCTTTCTTTAAGCCCCACAGTGCAGTCTACAAGAAGACTCTAAAGGCTAATGAAGAATTTAAATGCTTTCTTCGGGGAAATGAAAGATTCCTTTCCAAAGAGAATGATGGACTCTTCCAATTTACTTTGAAGAAGCAAACACTGGTGTCCTTCAAACTCCCTACTCAAAGCCCAGTACTGAAAACAGATGTTGGTACCCAGACAACTGCCACAGCAGACCCTGGCTTTCCTTTAGTAGATATTTATTGAGCGTCCAGTGAAAAGGTGCACTGTCCACAGTAATGTAAATGGTAGCTCCGCCTTCATGAAGCGTCCGTTTTTCCTGGGTTCCTTAATTTACCTGAACAGTGTTTGCATTCTGTGAAATGCCTCTCCACGTCACAAATGTCGCGTTTCTTTGTCTGCACATAACTGTTGCTCACAGAAGGGTCACTGCCAGGCCCCTCACCTCCGCAGCCGGTGAACTTCGGGCACTCGCTTGGCTGCCTGCTGCCTGCTGCCCTGTGGAATCTGACCATGTCCACATCGCCCTGGACTCAAGACTGAAGACACGCACGCAGTTTATTTAACTTATGTTGTCAGAGAGAAAGAAGTTTGTTTAATATACACTGTAATGAGTAGAAATGGATCCTGTAAACAGGGAATATAGCAAAAACAGACCTGATAATGTATAACCAAATATGACATTGGAGAATTTTATGTGGCTGGAAATAAATACGTTTTGTAACAAAGGGGAATTTTGTTTTTGTCTGGAAGGATTTCATCTCTCCGTACTTGGAGAGTAGATTTCCAATCAAAATAAGAGCTTGAGCAGACTAGATAGAATTCTTGTCTCAAGGAAAGTTCCCGGGAGGAGAGACTCAAGTGTGCTTCTGTGCATCTGGGAAATGGATGCCCTGTCTCTTACTGACTTACACTTCTATTCCAAATGCGAGCAAACCCTGGGAACCTCAGTGCTGGACAGAATGGTTCTCACCCACCCACCTAGGGTGGACCTTCGGTGGCGTCCCCTTCTTCTGACCCAAGGCCACCAGAGCAAGGGAAGAGGTGGAGGAGAAGCTGGCTGCTTAGCGATTGCTCCTTGGAGCGTTACGTGGTAGTAGGGTTACGTGGTAGGATTAGCTAGAATGTAACTTCCATCTAACTCCACAGGTTGGGGGATAGAGTGGGTGAGGAGGACCTGCCCAGTACTGATAGTCTGTCTTGAGTTCTTTTTTGTGTTCCAGAATGAACAGTGTGTAGAGCACACTTTTTGTGCAGCACTTCTTGCCTTGCCTTCTTTGGGGTCACAGGGCTGCCCACTCGCTCTTCTTGGGGCAGGCTGGCCACGGGACACTCCCCCAGAAGGGGCTGTCATGGCCCTGAATTCAGCGGGCAGTGAAGAGGCCAGGACCAGGTCACTCTGTGGCCCCCGGCTCCCTCAGGACCATCTTGCCCCTTGGGAAAAGGCTCCTTATCGTCCTCCTCTTCTCCTCCCAACAGTCTTCACCTCCACACCCATTTGTTCCTCCTCTCCCAAGCTGTCCCACACTAAATCAGACCAGTATGTGGCCTTGAGTGTCTGAGCAAACTCCAAAACCTGTGCGGACCAGCATACTTTTAAATGTATTTACTTACTCAGTACCCCCATGAGATAGCTACCCACATCTTCATTGTACAGATGAGGAAGCTCAGGCACAGGGAGACTGACTGACCCAAAGTCACACAACTAATGCAATAGGGCCAGAATGGAGACTAAGCAGTTTAGTTCCAGAGTCCCTACTGTTAGCTCAAATTAGGCTGGTTTTTTCTGTTAAAGCCAATTCTCTTCCTACCTTTATGGGGTTTTAAGAGCAATTAAAATTGTGAAACCTGGGGTTAGCAGGGAGCATAGGATAAACTGCGAGCCAGGCAGGGCAGTATTAGTCATTCCCTCGGTGAAATTGCATGATTTGCATATCAAGCGCCCAGGCTGCTCATCTGCTGAAAGGAAGTGGGGCAGGCCAAGGTGACGCAAGTGGGACTTTGCAAGTGGGACTTTGACCGCTCTGAAGAAGAGGAAATAGCCTGGGTCCTGGGGGGCAGGATCGCGTAACCCGCATTGGAAACCCTGGGGTAACCTCTGAACCTTGGTGGAGTTTCCAGTCCTCTCCCCAGCCCTCCAGAGGCCTCTCCATGCTTCAGTAACTGTCACCCATTTGCTGATAGGGCGAGGCAGGAGGAGGAAGAAGGCAGGCTGCTTGAAGGTCCGCGGTCAGAGCCACAGATTCAAGTGACCTGGCTGCAAAGAAAACAGCAAAACCAGTAGCACTGCATGAGTCAAGCATTGACCTGAGCTGGGTGCACAATACCTCACAGACTTCCTGGCCGCAATTTGGCCTTGACCATTTGGTTGCCAGAGCCACAAGGCCCTCTCTTTTGTTTATTCACCCTCATTGCTTATGTGGCAGTATTGACTTAGAATGACCAGACGGCCCACTGCGATTGCCCCTGACTCAGAGGCGCCCTGGCTTCTACAACTTCTCATTTTACGCCATCCAAGGATAAGACTCAGACCCGACCTTAAACATTTACCGTGGAAGTGAGCTCTCCGGTCGTAAGTTCCTGTGAACCAAGCTGCAGGTTACGGGGGGGGGTCGGTCGTAAGTTCCTGTGAACCAAGCTGCAGGTTAGACGGGGGGGGGGGGGCAGGGGGCAGCTATAAGCAGAGCTTTGTAGTCTCCCTTTCTTCCTGTGTTGAATTAGAACCAAAGCCCAGGGAGCCAACCGGCTTCACGCTGTCTCTACTCTGCCCCACTCTCTTGCCTGCTGTTTCCTTCACCCTCACTCCCTCACTCTTTATTCCCTCCCCAATGCAGTAAGTTGGTTCTATGCTCTCTCCCTCAGCGGCTTGATTTTCGGAGTCAAACCTGTTGTTTAGCCAGTTTTTCAACCATCAAGATGACATAAAATTTAGATGTGCATATTTATTTTATAGATTCATTCAGAGCCTAGACATGACAGGCACCTTTGCTATCCATGTATTTCTGCATCTCTCTCATCACCCTGGGCTGGCTCTTCCTCTAGAACAGACTGCCTAGGAGAGCATCCCCCCGTACCCTTAGAGGCAGGACACCACCTGGTAAGGTACTGGCCTTGCACTGAATGCACACTTCCTGTGTGCTCTTGAGCAAACTTGGTCGTTTCACCAATCCGGTGTTCTCATTTGTGAAATGGAGTAAGGGTATCAGCCAACTGCCCTGTGTTAATACTGTAGGGATTACTATGATCAGAAATGTCAGGCATTTCACTACAGGGCCAAGACAGAATGTACGGGCTTGCTAGCTATGTTACCATCAGCTAATGCACAGAGAATCAAGGGATTGTGGCTTGTGAAGGAAAATGGACAGAATGGGACGCCCCTGTCCTTCAGGCTGTCTGTCTCATTGGATGCAGGTGCTGGGCCAGCTCCAAATCAGAAGGAGTTACTTTTCTTATTGGCTGCAAAACCTCCTCAGGATACTTTTAAAAAACTTGTGCTAGGAGGTTTTGGTTTTCCTAAATGGCTTTTCTCTCCAGCCTTTCAGTTCTTTTGTCCTACTAGATTTAATGTGAAGTTGCATGGAATTCACTACTGACCAATTAGCACAAAGACCACACCTAACATCAGCAGTGCGTGGACTGCAGACACTCACTAGGCTGCCAAGCCAGTGCTGCGAGGGAAAGATGTGTGCCGGAGGTGTCTAAGAGTTTGAAGCCAAGGACAGAACCGGGGGTCTCTCCTTCCTTGTTGAGCTATCTGTGAAGAAGCTTTCTAGGAAAATAAGAGCCTCTGTAGTTCTGGGAAGTCTTCCTGGAAAGAGCCCTGTCCCCATGCAATAGCCCTTCAGGACCATCCATGGTGTCCTCATCCCAACAGGGTAGTTCTTATCCCACAGAGCCTGCGTTCTTCCAAGGCCTTGGACCACAGCTGGAAGAAGTGGGCTGGACAAAGCCAGGACTGTGGGCACCAAGAGCATTCGAACATCCGAGTGGGTGGCAGGGGGCAAGATCAAAAATCTTGGGAGACATTTCCCAATAGAGATGGGAGCTAGTCCTCTAGTCTTCTGACCCAGTGCTGCCAGAAATAACCTGGACAACATCTCAAGCGCCCCCAGCCTTTGCTCTGATGCCTAAAATGAGCAGAGGGATTTGGTCAGTCAGCCTCTGCCGCTAGACACCGCTGCCATAGTACTCCTGTCGTACACCAGCCTCCAGCACTTGCCTTTCTCCTGGTCCATCTCTGGGCTCCCTTCATACTGAGCTCACCTTTGCACCCTCTGTGTGCTCGCTCAACCCAAAGACTCCCCTCCTTGGCTCTCGTATGTCACTTATCCCTGTGGTCAGGTACTATCGTGGTTGCCTCTCGAGGTTCTTATGATAATTCATACATGGGAAAGAAGCTTTTTACAGGCAAAATCAACACAAGAAATACAAGCCTCTTTCTAGCATCTGATAATAGAGCACATGAAGATGAAAGAGAAATCAGGATTCAACTCTGCTCTTTTTCCCAAAGAGCATAATTTTCCAGATGAAAAAGGTCTGATACTTGTTAATAAAAAGAAGTTCAGCCCTGGGTAGAGAGATCACTTAAAGCACTCAGGTGAGTGTAGGCAAAATCATATAACAGAATTACTTAAACAGTGACATAAATTACAAAAGCACTGGAAGAAGTGTTGGTCTGTAGAACTGCAGAAGTTTATAAAGAATAAGTCTAATCTCATTTTTCTTTCATGATTACTACTACACTGGTTGATCAAGGACAGGTAACAGGTTTCTCAGTTCAACTTCAGCAACGTACATGGCAAAGTCTCACCTTATTTTGCCTTGTGACCAAGCTGGATTCAAAACACAGTGCTACTCTGTGTGGCAATTCATAGATTCGTGTCAATCTGGAATGGTGGCGACCTTGGGTCATTCCACCTCCACCTGAATTAGCAGACACACTCCCGGTCCTTCTTTGATCTTATTTGAGAGTTCAGACCTTCAGTGTCATGGCCAAACACAAAAATCCAACAGTGGAGCAATGGGATTGTGCCCACCCAAGAGATTTTGATAGAGGCAAGCAAATTTGACAAACTAGTATTCACTGAGACACCTGCTGTATTCCATACATTCTGCTTTGCTGAAAAGACTAGAGTGAAAAATACTCAAAGATTCTCACAATCATGGAATTTGCATCTTAATCTACAGATGTTATATGTTGTTTACCCAAATTAACTCAAGAGTTAAGCAGCCTTTTTGCACTGTTGCCTTCATCTTGTCCTGATAACAATTAGCTTTTTCAGATCCCAGAACAGGGAATTTCTATGCTGGAAAAATTCTAAGCGATAAACAAGTTGGACTTGGGTCCAGAAAAGCTAATCATATCAGGACAAGTAGAGTCAATCAGACTTGACAGTAAAAATGAAAAAAATTAGACAGAGGCAAAGAAAATATATCCAATATATTTATTCATCCAACAAATATTTCTTAGGATTTATCAGCCCTATTTCTAAGTGATGGAGACAAAACACTGATCAAGAGAGTCAGAGTTTCCACCATCTGGAGTTTATATTCTAGTAGTCATACAACAAGCTGCTGTAGCTGCCAAAAATAAATAAAAATACAATCTTAGGCTCCAGTGTGGTGTCCCAGATGAGGAACAGGTAAGCGCCACTGCACTTGGCCTTGGCACTTGGGCTCAACTCCAGACACCACCACCATGGAGAGATACAGAGCCTGAGGATGTG